ACAAAAATACAAACTGCATGTCCTCACTTATTTGTGAGAGCTAAAAATGAAAACAACTCGGAGATAGAGTAGAAGGATGGTTACCAGAGGCTGGGAAGAGTAGTGGGGCGTCAGGGAGAGTGAGAATGGCTAATTGGTACAAAAAAATAGGAGGAGTGACTAAGATCTTGTGTTTGACAGCACAACAGGGTGACTATAGTCAGTAATAATTTAATTGTACATTTTTAAATAACTAAAATAATTGGATTCTTTGTAACACAAAGGATAAATGCTTGAGGTGATGAATATACCCCACTTATGCACTGCATGCCTGTATCAAAATATCTTATGTACCCCATAAATATACATGTTACCCACAAAAATTAAAAACTGAAACAAAATGAAATTACAAAAAATAGTCTATCGTTACAATATGTAAAAGAAGTATGTCATATGAGTCACAAACATATTCACTCGTATACATAAAGCAAATAGTCAAGAAAAGCTTTTGCTTTTTCAGTAAGCTGTTGTTATTACTCAATCTGTATTTGGAAATAAAATACAGGTACATCTGAAGATTCAAATCCATCTTATCCAAACTCAGGAAACAAAAGGATTCTGCTAAACTTTTAAGATTCTACTGTTTAACAGAAATTATATCCATCACTCTCTGAACTTTTTTCTTTTTTTTGAGACGGAGTCTCACTCTGCCCAGGCTGGAGTGCAGTGGCACAATCTCAGCTCACTGCAACCTCTGCCTCCCGGGTTCAAGCGATTCTCCTGCCTCAGCCTCCCAAGTAGCTGGGAATAAGGGCGAGCGCCACCACACCTGGCTAATTTTTTATATTTTTAGTTGAGACAGGGTTTCACCATATTGATTAGGCTGGTCTCGAACTCCTGACCTCGTGATCCGCCCACCTTGACCTCCCAAAGTGCTAGAATTACAGGCGTGAGCCACGGCGCCCGGCCCCACTCTCTGAACTTTTACTCTTGCTATCCAAAACTCAGGAATTGAACAGATGTGAATGGCCTATCCCTCACTATCCAGACTCTTATCACTCAAACTCAGGATATAAATACAATAGATTCAGACTGCAAATACTTGTGAATCTTAACATAAATTTTTAATATAATTTCACAGTGTTTAAAAAACTTCTGAGGATTTTTTAAGTAATATGCAGTACTCTACTAAATCCCATAAATATTAGCTGCAAAACATCTTAGAAAATATCTTCTTGTACCCTATTTCTCAGCAGTCTGTTGGAGCAAGGAAGGCAGCTATTAGGTTATTGCCCCTCAGCTCCAAACTGCAGCACCCCTACCCGTATTCTGCTTTGTGGTGCTTGCACTAAGACTCTGTAAAAGCTCTCCCAAGAAGAGGCACTCAAGATGAACTGAAAGGCTGGAGGAGGAGGAAGAAAAGACTGTATCTTCCTATGTAATCTTTAGGTTTCATAAGAGCATTTCCCCAACACAGGCTTCTTCAGCCCTATAGCAGCAGGTTCTTCCAGTAGCAACAAGTGAATCCAGCTTGCAGTGTTTCCAACACTTCCAGAACTAGCTTCACCATAAACCACTGAGAGACACCAGCATCAGCCAGCAAGGTCTGGGTCCCAACCTTACAGAACCCCTCTTCCAAGCTCAGACACCAGCATCGATCATGCAGCAGCTTCTCAGAGGTCTAAGTTTCATTTCTTCGGGGACTTTCCTCTAAGTTCCTAATGTTTTCTCGTTCCCTTTGGTCCCTGAGCCCTATGGGCAGTAGCTGCTTCCTGTTGTGTCTATCTTCATGATATTTTAGTTTTGTTTTTATCCTTTATGTTACTTAGTTAACATTTATATCTAGTTATCAATTCTATTAAAGTATTATCTCTGTTCAAATAGTGGTATGGTTTCAGCCTCCCTAGAGAATCCTGAATGCTAAAATAGTCTCATGTAGAATATGATGTTGTTACAGTGACTTTTGTTGAAATGCAATTCTACCTATACTAGCAAGTAAAGTAGACCAAAGAGTCAGAGTAATTTGGTTACAATTACAGAGTATACTTAACTATCACTACAAACTATTCTGCAGTCATTTTTTTAAGGCAAATTTAGAGGGTCTTTTTCTAATTCACATATAATATCTACTGGTATAAAAAAAGCAAGCTCTGTTTTCCCAAATTTTCTACAATAATTATGTACTACTTTGTAATCATAAAAATACAGCAAGTCTAATTTTAACAACAATTCTAACAAAGTCAGATTAAACAAGGATTCAATATCATCCACAGAAAGTAGTACTTGTTTACCTTACCCTAAATACTTAAGGAGACTGAGGGAGTTTTAATCCATTTACTAACTACCCTCTTCCAACCAACAAATTTTTTATACTTTCCTTCTATTCACTACCTTCACTTACACATAAATTGTCCACTCCCACTCATACTTGTGCCTACAAACTCCCACCTGCCTATCCATTTTCTGATTCCCAGCCACATGACCAGTTCTTCTCCACCAACTCATTTGCTTCCTGTCTTGAGGTTAGTCACTTTCTAGATATACAGATAGTATATACAAGAGAGATAAGGCAAACAAGCAATGTTTTTCAGTAGGGTTGAGTTACTTTAAGAGTTCTGGTTGTACCCCTATGTGGGCAGTGTAGTTTGCAGGGACCATTTCTGGTTTGGGGAAGACTCTATGGGAAGTAGACTAAAATTTATTGTGGTTATTAAGTAATCCAGTTTTTCTTCCCTCCTTCGTCTCAAAACAATACTGGCTTCCACTAAGAAAAATCGGTGACAGACAATGGTCTTCTATACACAAATCTAAGAATGGGAATCCTCTGTTTCAGATGTGGACCATACAGAATATTACAGAAATGAAAGACATACATAAGGACAATAAATATCATGACTCTGATGCCATAGGGCTTCTCAGTTTATAAATTAAATGCTAGATATACAGTTATATCCCAAACAATTCTGATTGTAGAATACTGTGCTAAGGAATTACAACACAGTGAGTAAACTGTAGCATAACTTATATTACCTCTTCTCTTTCATCAAACAAAAGTTACACACATATTATTCCTAACCCAATGTCATATAAAGGCTTAACCTAAACATAAATATAGTATTCACAGAGACTTAAAATTTCAGTCAATTACCTTAATATATGAGTGTTTCAGCATTTCATACAACTAAAATATCTTAAGGAAGTCTAATCAGTAGAAAGTGGACGCTAAAGAAACAATAATCATTTTACAAAAAAAAAAAAAAAGCTTTTCTACTGAGAAATAGGACAGTCAGCCTTGACTTGCAAAACGTCAAGTACATAAAAACTACAAAGGTAACTTCATTGTTCATTTTGTCTGTATCTGTGTCTGTGTGTGTGTGTGTGTGTGTGTGTGTGTGTGTGGCATTCCGGAAAATCAGGATTGCTCTTAAGCGTAAGGATTCCTTCATTCCCAATCATGGTTCTGGCAATTTTGTAATCTCTCCTCTCTCTCCTTCTGCCCTCCAAAGCTGGGCAATTATAACCCTTCCTCATCTACGCTGCTGCAACCACAATGACCTCCTCCATTGCTCCTCAAACATACAAGGCAGCCTCCCGCCTTGGATCTTCCTGCACTCCCTCTGTGCCTAAAGAATGCTCAACTACCACTTATCCAATATATGGCTCACTCCCTCATATTTTAAGATCTTCATTCAAATGTCCCCTTTTTTAGTGAAGGCTTCCCTTAGGACTGGCCTGTCTAAAATAACACATACTCCTATTATTTCCTATTCCTCTTCTCTATTTTTCTCCTTAACCCTTATCATATCACTAACAGATACTTATACTATTTTCTTTATTAATTGTCCCTCCACCAAAATGTAAATTCCATGATTACAGGATTTTTACATGTTATGCTCATTGCTATGCCCCAACATTTAGAACAGTGCCTGACAACAGTAGATGCTCAATACGCTAGATGAATAAATGATATGGCTGACTACACAACCACATGTAACTAGCAGGTCCTGCCATCAACACTTCATACTCTAAGATTTCAATTAGCAGATTAGGTTTAGATCATTTTTCACTCTGGGAACCATGACAATCCCTCAGGGGCCAATGTGAAGGTAGAATATGGAAGCCTAAGCCAGCAAAAACAGTCATATATTTATCTGTTTTGCTAATTTGACTTCACATATTAATTGATTGGCAAAACTGATCTGGTGACTTCAAAAATCTGAAACCACAGGGTCGTACACAACAAAACAGTTCCTACTTTTTACATTTCTCATGTTTTATTGTAAATTAGAGAAATCTAGATATTATATTTTTACCATCCCTTAGAAAGAAATTAAAATTAGTATCTTCAGTCTTATTTTGATTGCTACAAAGGCAATCAAAATTTACTACGTTCTAATTAATTTGAGTAGAAAGCAGATTGGCTTTTTTTTTTTTTGAGATGGAGTTTCACTCTTGTTGCCCAGGCTGGAGTGCAATGGCACAATCTCAGCTGACTGCAACCTCTGCCTCCTGGGTTCAAGCGATTCTCCTGCCTCAGCCTCCCGAGTAGCTGGGATTACAGGTGTGAGCCACCACAACTGGCCAATTATTTTGTATTTTCAGTAGAGACACGGTTTCACCATGTTGGCCAGGCTAGTCTTGAACTCCTGACCTCAGGTGATCCACCCGCCTCAGCCTCCCAAGATGCTGGGAGTACAAGTGTGAGTCACCGCACTTGGCCCAGATTAGTCTTTTTAAAAGAAACACAAAGAAGTGTTAATTATGTTGTTTCATGTACAAATTACCACCACACTATACTCAGTTCACTAAATGAAGATTAAAAGCATATCCAAATCCCATTACCACAAAAATTTCAGTAAGCAGAAATATCACTCCATTCCGCCAAATTGCACTACTTGACAAAACAAGCTACAATATTTTATTCTAAATCTCACCCTGAAATTCATTGCAATATAAGGTGACCAGTCTAACTTTTAAAATGTTACATGTTCTAATAAAGAAAAAAAAAAAAGAGCACTCACCTTAATGAAGTTACAGATGGACAAGCCTGTCCATACAAACCCATCTGGCCACAAAGAGAATCTGAAAAGTAAAGAAGAGTTAGTTATCAGATGCTGCAAAGTAAATTAAATTAAACCGTAAGTCTCACTTCAGATTTACTTTAAAACATTCTCAAAACAGAAGTAAAATGCTAAAAGAATCACCCTTATCAGAACACAAACTTACATGAAAGAAAAATGCCACTGAGTCATAAGAGGGATTACACTAAGACAGACAAACATATCAGGAAGCCTACAGACATTATCAGGCGGCATAACAGAAATAGATACACTATAACTGTAACATCTAAAGAAGCTGAGATTTCATAAGATTTAACAAATGATTATGGCTAGTCATAGAGAGTGTCCAAACTGTTTTAGTAGAGTCCTAGGGATTCTAGAAAGATGCCCAAAAGCTACCAGACTTAAGCATGCAGGTTTCAACCCCCAAATAAGTGCCCCACCAAATCTATTCCTCCAGCAAAATAGTGCTACCTTTATTGGTTTTAAATATTCGACTTCACAAAGACTTCATCTAAGAAACAGTTCCACTGTTTAAAAAAAAAAAAAAAGTAGTAATAGTAGTAGTAGTAGTAGTAGCAATAGCAGCAGCAGCAGCAGCAGCAGTAGTAAAGAGAAGCACTGAAACAGAAAGAGCTTTGAATTCCAATTCTAGGTTTTAGGTTCAAATTCTAACAGTGGCACTAATGAGACCTTAAAGAATTTATATAACTTCAATGAACCTCAGTTTCTTCATCTGTAACATGGGGCTAATACCACCTACATAACTTTATTCAAAGGAGATTAAACTCCAAGCTTGTTGTTAGAATTAAATAAATCAACAAATGTAAAAGTGTCTATCAGCACTACTATGGAGCACATGGGAGAGTATCAGTATTTTCATTAGGCAGAAGGATGATCCACAAATGCCTAATGGTAACATAAATGGGATAAGGTAAAATGGGTTTAAGTGTATACATATGCATATACTGCACAAGTGGCGGAACTGTGAGCAACTAAAGAGAGCATGTTCAGTCTGAAGGGATCAGGGCTATTCCCAGTTCTAGTCAATTGTTGCTAGGCAGGAGCATTATACGCCCAGCATTTTAAGAACTTCCAATTTTTCAAGAGAAACAAAAAAAATCCAAAATTTTATCTGTAATCTCTTGATTTTTTATTTTAACTTTTTTTTAAAAAAAAGATGGAGTCTCGCTATGTTGCCCAGGCTGATCTTGAACTCCTGGGCTCAAGTGATCCTCCTGCCTCAGCCTCCCAAAGTGCTAAGCTTACAGGCATAAGTCACTGCACCTGGCCCTGATTTTCATTTCCTAAATACTATGTGGGCCAAACGGAAACTGGATTTTGCTCCAAGCCTGTAACCTTTGGTTTAAAAGGTGATTGAAGTCCCTACATCCAATAATTATCCCGCATACACTGAAGAGAGAGACAGATAAGACATTTCTATTTCTGCCAGAGTGACAGGATGGATGGCTCGATCTCATACCCACTGAAAATAACTAAAACGCTGAGTAAAATATCTTAAAATCTTTACATATAAATCAAAAACTTGACAGAAAATCAGGTATGATCAGAATCCAAAAACTAAGTGAAACAGTGGAAACTAAAAAGGTATGCAGAGTACTGATACCAGCTTTCCTTCACCTTTAGGGCATTATGCAAAGCACTATGAATTCTGGCTTGCAATTCCAAGACCTTATGGGACCCAATGTACAAGATGCAACAACGTTCAGATCTTAACCAAGAGAACTGCCAGGAAAACTGCTTTTTTAACCTTAGCACTTAGGGCTGGTGAGGGGATCCAGGACTATGACAGCAGTAAGGTACAAGAGGCAGCAATGTTCAGTTCTCAACCAAGTAAACTGCCAGGAAAACTACTTTTTTAACCTCGGCACTCGGTGCTGGGAGAGGATCAGGGACTGTGACAGCAGTGCAAGGGTGTCTTCCCTGATATTTTACAACCACAAGCTGATCTTCCCCTATGGTTTTAAAAGCTTCATACCAGCCGGGCACAGTTGCTTAGGCCTGTAATCCCAGCACTTTGGGAGGCCGAGGCAGCCGGATCACCTGAGGTCAGGAGTTTGAGACCAGCCTGACCAATATGATGAAACCTCCGTCTATACTAAAAATACAAAAAACTTAGCCAGGCATGGCGGCATGTGCCTGTAATCCCAGCTACTTGGGAGGCTGAGACAGAAGAATCGCTTGAAGCTGGGAGGCAGAGGTTGCAGTGAGCCAACATCACACCACTGCACTCCAGCCTAGGCAATAAGAGCAAAACTCCGTCTCAGGAAAAAAAAAAAAAAAAAGCTTCATACCTAGAATTTTGTTTAGGGTAGCTCTAGGATGGTTGTATCTCCCACCCAATCTTGATAGCAGCACATGTACATTCTCTCTGGAGGAAATCACCTTTGATCTAAACCTGGAAAAATTCCCACAGGTAAGATCTCAAAATAACTGTACTCATAATTAAAAATCACAAAACCCAGAAAGAAATCAGCCACTCATAGCAAAATACAGCAGAAACATCAGTTAGCACAACAAAACCACAAGGAATTCAGATATAAAAATTACTAGACATCCTTGGGACCAGAGTCCGGCGTGGACAGTCCCTCATCCTGGGAAATGGGGTGTGGCTGAAAAGGCAGCCTTCCCCTCAGCTGTCATGGAATACACTTTCGTGGGGAACCTGGCGCTAACCCACTCACAGATGACCTGCTTCTGGGTCAGGGTTTTGTACATAGCACAGCAGCTTTATTTAAAAAAAAAAAAAATTACTAGACATCCTTTTCTACTGTTTTACTGTATGCGTGATCTACCTAGTCTTGTATTTTAGTTGCCTATATGTAGATAGATCTCAAATCTTCATCTCTATCGATCTCAAATCTTCATCTCTAGCAGAGATCAATCTCCTGATCTCCAAACAAATATCTAACATTCTGTCCCGGAAATCCCAAATTTACCATGTTTAAAACTGAATTCATCATCTTCTCTTAATATACTTCCTTCCTGGATAAAATGGCACAGCCTTTTCATCTAAGAATGGCTTTCAGGTTTCTAGCTTAACTCTTTACTTTTCGTTAGAGCAGACTAATTTTTTTTCAACTCTTAGTCTCTATGAGGAATTACTTCAGTAAACACTCCTGGCCTCTTAGCCCATTCCTCTCCAAAGAGGTAAATTGGTTAGTACATAGAGCTAACTTAACAAAAGAACTGAGTACCAGGGACTCAGACTCTTTTCATTTTTTTGAGATGGAGTTTTCACTCTTGTTGCCCAGGCTGGAGTGCAACGGCGCCAACTCGGCTCACTGCAACCTCCGCTTCCTGGGTTCAAGCAATCCTCCTGTCTCAGCCTCTCAAGTAGACGGGATTACAGGCCTGTACCACCATGCCTGGCTACTTTTTTGTATTTAGTAGACGGGGTTTCACCCTGTTGGTCAGGCTGGTCTTGAACTGCTGACCTCAGGTGATCCACCTGCCTCAGCTGGGATCCCAAAGTGCTGGGATTACAGGCTTGAGCCACCACGCCCAGCCCTCAGTCTCTCTCTTCCCTCTCCATCCAGGATTCTACAAGGCAATGATCTGAGTGTGTCCACTCTGCTGACCCAAACATCCTCTAGGGTGAACTGTCCCATTGACAGATGGGGATGAGGGCCTGCAGAAAGTCAGCCAACTCATTTGGCTCTTAAACCTAAGCCACGTTCTACAATACAGGTTTTATCAAAAACAAAGGCAACTCCTTTGAAAGTTAAACACAGAGTTACCATAAACCCCAGCAATTACGGGCATATATATCTCCAAGAGAATTTAAATGTTCCTACAAAACCATGCACACAAATGACTGGTTGCACACAAATATGCAGCATTACTCATAAAGCCAAAAAGTGAAAATAACCCAAATGCTTGTCAACTAATGAACGGATAAACAAAATATGGTTTATCTAAGGTAATAACCATATAAGACACAATGCAACTTCATTCAGCCATAAAAAGGAATGAAGTATTTTTACATGCTACAACATAGATGAACCTTGAAAGCCTTATGCTAAGTGAAAAAGACACAAAAGACCACATGCTGTATGCTTCCATTTATATAAAATGTCCAGAATAGGCAAATTTATAGAAATGAAAAGTAGACTGGTGGTTGCCAGGAGATGGGGGAAGAGAGGGAGATTGCACATGGGAAGTCACTGCTAGGAGGTTTCTTTTTAGAGTGATGAAAATGGCCTAATTGATAGTGGTAATGGTTGCACAACCTTGAGAATATATTAAAAACTACTGAATTGTACACTTTAAAATGGTGAACTTCACAGTATGTGATTTTTACCTGAATAAAAAGCTAATTTTTTTAAAGGTACTGTCTTGCTTCTTCATCTGTAGGTTCTTATTTCTCAGTCAGTTCAAAACTCAGGCAAGGGAAAATGATCTCATATACTGAATTGTCCAAACATCAACACCCTTACTACCTCCAATAAGTTACCATTTACTACCAAATTCTAACCTCTAATTATCTTTCTAATCTGCTCTAGCTTCAATGCCTTAGTCCCAGTGTTATTCATTTTTCCTCTAGATCACTGTCCTTAAATGACATCCTGAACCCTAGGCTTATTGACTGAAAGAACAAACATATACCAGTCTTCTCCCTACCCAAGCAACTGAACAACCAACAGGAAATCTCACAAAAGAAGACTAAGGTTCACATTGAAGTCAGGAAATTTCGAAGTCCTCCAAGTCACAAACAAATCTCTGTGGCATCAAGTATAGTTGAACGATAATATTAACTCATTCAATTATATCCATATTTACATGGTTTTATTTGGTGCCAACAGCATAAATCTCCAAATCTTTTGAAAACTATTATGTATCAAGAAAGAGAAGAATGACACAACCAGAATATGAGTACTAAAAGCCAGGCATTAGCTAATGAGTATGCTGCAATACAAGCTATTTACTGTATTATATTCCATTACCAATAGAAAAGCATGGAATTCCTTTTAACATAAGCAGTATTCAAGTATACATTAA